ATCAAAATTCCAATGTCATTTTTCATAGAGATAGGGAAAACAATCCTAAAATTCATATGGAACCACAAAAAAACCTGAATAGCCAAGGCAAAAAAAAAAAAAAAAAAAAAACCATGAGCCGGAGGCACTACACTACCTGATTTTAAACTATACTACAAAGTGATAGTAATTAAAATAGCATGGTACTTGCATAAAAATAGATTCATTAACCGATAAAACACAATAGAGAGCCCAGAAACGAACACATGCATATACAGTCAATTGATTTTAGACAAAGTTGCCAAGAATATACAATGGGTAAAGGATGGTCTCTTCAATAAACAGTGTTGAGAAAACCAGATATCCATATGCAAAAGAAAGAAATTGGACCACTGTATCACACTACCTATAAAAATCAACTCAACATGGACTAAAGACTTAAACATAAGACCTGAAACTATAAAATTGCTAGAAGAAAACATAGGGGAAAAACTACACAACATTGGTCTGGGCAATGATTTTTTGGATTTGGCCTCCAAAATGCAGGCAACAAAAGCAAAAATAGACTAATGAGATTAAATCAAAATAAAAAGCTTTTGCACAACAAAGGAAACAACAGAGTGAAGAGACAATCTATGGATTAGGAAGAGATATTTGCAAGCCATACATCAGATAAGAGGTTAATATCCGAAATACATAAGAAACTCAAACAACTTTACAGAAAGAAAACAAGTAATCTGATTTAAACATGGGCAAGGCAGTGATGACCACCGAATCTCCACAGGAAGCACCCCAGGCTCTCCTGATCCAGGGCAGTGGGGGGGCTTTGGCCTCATCCATGTCCCCCCGACACCCAAAACCAGCCCAGAGATGACCACTGAACTGCCACAAGAAGTGCCCTGGGCTGTCCCAAGCCAGGGTGGTGAGGGACCGAGGGCCTCGGTCATGCTCTCCTGATACATGCAACCAGCCCAGTGATGACCACCAAGCTACAGCAAGAAGGGCTCTGGGTTCCCAAGCTGGGGTAGTGGGGGGCGAGTGCTTCTGCCACATCCCCCTGACATCTGCACCCATCCCGGCAATGGCCAAGCCACCACTGGAAACCCCCCAGTCTCCCCTGTGGGCATGAGGGGGCTGCCACAGACCTCAATCTTGCCCCTCCTCCTTCCTCCTTCTTCCATCCCATTTCCTTCCCCTTTCCCTTCTCCCCCTCCCTCCCAACTGCTCTGCAACAACATCCTAGAATATAAAAAAAAAATGATATTAATAAAATTACATTTTCTTAAAAAAAAATGGGCAAGGAACCTGTATATACATTTCTCAGAAGAAAATATACAAATACGTTATTCTTTAAGACTGGAATGTTATAAAAAGTTCTTCCCTCCATCTTTGAATGTCCAGATTCTACCAATCCTTTAAGATCTAACTTCCACGTCACCTGCTCTGGAATGCTTTTCTTGATCTACTAATTAAAGTGCTTCCCTTTTCATTTGAATCTCCACAGTATTTCTCCCAGCTCTAGCTTAGAGCACTTATTTATTCTCTACTTTTCGGGTACAAAGCCAGCCTTCACTGTTTAAATGTAAGTTCCTTGAGCCAGTGACCATTTCTCAATTCTCCTTTCTACTGCCTACTCATGTACCCTGGGCCTTTCCATGCATATATGGTAGAGAGTCAACAAATTCTCAGGAAGTAAGAGAAAAGAGTTTGGAGCCTCCAGGCTGCATCTATGGTTTTCAATTTACCTTATAAAATGCCAGTGATATCAACTTTGATGAGTAGGGTCTGTTAGCATCTCAACAGTTAAAGGATGTGGCGAATCATCGGGGCTTTTGGAATACTGACTGGTTCCAGGTGACTATTTGGAATGCACAGTCAGAGAAGTAAAACAGAGGAAACAAAACAAAAAACACCAGGAAAACTAAAACAACTCAACCCAAAAACTTCTATCTTAAAGAGAACAATATGACTCTTTTCGAATTGAGAAGTTGAACAATCCCTCTTATTATTTCGACAAAACCCAAACAGGCATTTAACCTCCAAAACAACAACAAAAAAACCCCAAATCCCTAACTTTCCTCTGCCTTGGCAGGCTAATAGCACAGTAACTCTGGAGGGCTCTCTTGTGAACCAAGAATTCGGTTTCATTTTCTAATTTGAGGGGAGCCATTTTCAGCTTGAAGTGGAGGTGAATGAAAGAAGGGGGAGGGGTGTGGAAGGGGAGACAGTTTCACAACAGTCTCAGAAATGATCAGATTTACTTGCTTTCTGCATTAGAAACATCCTCAGAAATGGTTTTAATAGAGACTAACAATACTTCATGAGGCAGAAATACTTTCAACACCACATGCTTATTAATTTTTTGTATTTGGTTGAGTTTACACAAGTTTCTTGTATATCAAATAATGCAATAGTAAAAGCTTAATTGGCTCCTAGAATCTTAAACATTTGTAATGAACTATCCCATTACCTGTTGCTTTGCACCGTTCATTCATCCACAGCAATTTTCATCCTATTTGTAGTTTTGCCAAAAAATAAAATCAATCCTCCATCAATTCCTCCCCCAAGCAGTTAGATCGTTATCAGTCCATTTGTGAGCCTACCCCCATTTAAAGTTATTGTTAGAGCTATATCCAATGACAATGAAAACAACTCAAAAACCCTTTAAATATAAGGCTCTTCTCCAAAACTTTTACCTCATTTGTACTTGGACTTTACAAACAATTTCCATTTCTTTTTCAGTGATTTTCTATTCAAGTAAACTCAATTCATTCCCCACACAAAACTATAGTCTGTCTCAATAGCAATATCAAGGGAGGAAAAGAGTTACTGAAAAAGTTGACTATAATTATAATGGAGGAGAGAGATTATAAGCTACTGCGGGGAAGAAGAATTATGAGAAGGGAGATAGTGTGAGCCAGAAGAAATAGAAATAGAAAAGGTCTGGAACACACCAAGGGGCTGGACAGTGATATCTGAGGCCATTTCTGCATGGGCACAATAGTGTGTGTCCTTAGGAAAGGACAGTAAACAGAGCTTCTTCCATCATGGGCCAAGGGGTTCGAACATGGGTACTGATTGTGACCTTTCATTTCAGCAGAGATACCAATGCTGTGTTCTCTTTAGCCAACAATGCCAACTGTTGTAGAGTCAGGGGGTGGGGGACGTTCATTGTTCCTTACCTCCGTGAAGAGCCTCACTAGCTACCCAGAGACATGAAGGCCGATCTCACTTTTACCCATCCCCCCATCAATTAGCCACTGAGCCCTGTCTACTTGAACTCATAAATGCTCCGATGCCCTCACTTCTCTCTTATCATCCCCCACCCTTTGGCCTGGACTACTACAACGGCCCCCTAACTGGTCATGCAGTCTCGCTGTCCTCTGCCAATCTGTTCTGCACAAGGCAGCCAACCTGATTTCCCAGTCTCTCACTCCCCAAATCCCAACCATACCTGGCTATTTTCTTCCTAAAATGCTCCTTTCCACCACAAAGGCCTGGAAAGCTATTCAAGCAAGTGATTCTCTCTGCTTACAATATTCCTTCCAGCCACACTTCTATCCTGACTCCCTTTTAGAGCTTTCTGGTCTTAACTGGGGGGTATGGTTCCTGGTTTGTGCTCTCTCAGTAGTACGGGGGTGTGCTTTTGTAATCTATTGATCAGTGGCTCTCTACTCTGGCAGTCTGAAGTCAGAGGCTGTCTGTCCATGTGTCCTCATCTATTATATGAGGATAAAACAAGAACTTATAGGATAAAGATTAAATGCGTTAATTCAAGCAGCGAACTTAGAACAGCTCTTGGTATAAATACGGGCTACATAAGCTTTGGCCATAATGATGATAATTAGCACTGTACCTAGAACAATGTGTGTATTGAGTAAATATATGTTGAATGAAAGAGGAATGAATAAATGGAAGAATGAGCTAATGAATCCACCAATCCAGATGGCCTCCTTTTTTTCCAAACAGCTGTTGTCCATAACAGAGTACAGCAAAGCTGTATAGAAAACAATCAGAGAGAGGAATCATTGATTTTCACTGTCTACTGCCACCATGATAAATGATAAAAATAGCATTTTTGGTTCCCTGGGATTTTGAATTTATCCTACTGGGTTGCTGAATAAATAGTCAAAGCAAGAAGATTTGGAATTAAGAGATGAAGGAATATAACATCATAAAATATATTTCCATGCTTCTCTATCTTGTCTTTATTAACTGAAAAATCTGCTTCTTAATCAGCACCATATTCTTTAATTATTCCCAGGCTAAATCTTTTAGAAAACCATGCATGTCAGGTAGTCTATCCCCCAAAAAATGCTTGTACAGAAAATTCCAGTTTATGTTGCCAAGAAAGGAAGTTCCTTAGCCCTTTGCTCCAGTACATCCCAAACTTCAGATTCCTCAGGATCTTCAAGGGAAAGGCATCAGTCATGTGACTGTACATCATGCTCTGCTGGGCTAACAGAAAGAGAAACGCACACAAACAAACCGGGGCTTCTCCAGTTCTGCAGCAGTGGTATCCACACACTTACCAAACGCTGGAAACGGGGAAGGTGCCTCTGAGTTGGCCCAACCCTGTAAAGCCCTATTATCTGACAAAGTTTAGTTAATTTATTGTCCTTTAAGACTGTGGAAATATCTTAAATTATTTTTCTGCAGATAGCTAATTTGGACGTAAACATAAACACTGCATCATCACATCAGTAATGCAATGTCTGACCCTGTTCTTTCCCTCCTGTATCAGAGGAAGGTTTTTGTTCTCTTTCTCTAAAGCTAACTTTTCTACTGTTATACTGGACCCATCTATTTCTCTAAACTCTGAAAATTCACACTTGGTTCCTCTCAGTTCAGTCATCAGTTTGGGAAACTGGTCTTTAATTTAAAAGATGAAAATAGTTATGAAAAATAATTCTAACAAATAGATCGTTAAAGGCTTCATACTGGCACATTTAAAACTAAAGAATGCTTATACTGAAATCCATCACAGACAATGAAGAATGCTGGAAATTCAGTGAACTGACCTGTTTTTTTGTGGAGCAAACTGGATCTGTACCCGCAAATGCTGAAGTCCTGGGCCTGCATGGGAGCTGAGGAGAGGAACATTCTCGGACCTTCTGGGTTCCCAGGTGGGAAGGGTGGGCTCTGGGAGTGTCTGAATTCACTTCTATTCATGCTTGATATGTGGAGAGCATCCTGAGCTTTCTTTTTTTCCTTTTTTAACATGTTGACCAGAATATCTAAAACTTGATTTAAGGATTTAGTGACTCATGCTAGATTATAATGATAAAAACACAAATGTTTCAAATGTAATTAATATTCCCAATTAATATTTGCTATTTATCATCTGGTTAAAACTGACTAAAGAAGACTTCAACTTCCTGAAACCTAATATACAATTATGGACAATTTAGGAGGGTATTAGTCTTCCAATATGGCACCATTATATAAAAAATTAGCAAACCCAAAGATCTTTAAAATGTTTTGAGTTTAAGCCAGTTAGGTCTCAAAACTTTTATGAAAATTTTATAAAGAGTAAAATGGACACTGAGTAGTAGTAGGCAATGGAGCTATGCATATAGCTATTAGTAAATACATTTTTTATCTGGGAAGATCACCTCCTTGGTGGAGCACCTGGCTGCTCAGGAGGCAGCAGGAGTAGAGAAGGAGAAGAGCAAAACCCACCCAGTTGGCAGATCAGCCAAATCCATTCTTATGGCCAGTGTGGGGACGAATGTGCAGCCAGAGCACCCCTATGTCCAACACATGCATATTTGGAGTACATTCAGAAGAGGGCTGAAAGTCACTTATGTTTAAGTCTTACATCTAATTTTTGGCCACAAATGGAACTGAAAAGGAGTGCATTATTAGCATAGATTTATCATTTTAAAATGCACCTTTTGTGAGCCATTTAGATATGCCAGGAGCACTGACGATAAGTGATAAAACCACTCCACTCTACCTAATTTCATTGTTCATTCTGGGTTCAAGAAGCCTAGAACTCTAAGAGATTTCTGTCCCATCCACTGGAAGGGAAGACTATAAACCCCTTTTGAGAATCTCAGAACTCATATGCAGTATGATGAATTCAAGGCTTTCACCATCCTTAGAGATGGCTTCATTAAAATAGGAGTCTGAGGAAATGTGGGGATGTGTGGGAGAGAAGACTGCCACTCAGAAAGGAGGGAGGTACCCAGATTACAATTATTCTTAGGCAAGTAACATGGAAATCATTTGACCTCCATCTTCCCCCTCATCTTTAACTCCAACGTGTTGGTGATTTCTGGAGACATAATCAGTTTTTTGCTCACAATCCCTGATGTGACTTTCGTTCCTTGCCTCAAAAAAATGTGTGTTTACCAAAATTGTTCTCAACTTCTTAGTGTTTAGGCATTAGCCTGACAGAGTAGGACAGATCTGTTCAGATCTTCAACTCCTCTTTGTATGGAACTCATTACCAATGCCAATATACACTTCCATTGGTTCGTACACTGCAATGGCAGTATCCACTCATTCACTCATTCAGGATGTTTGTTTGAGCTTGTACCATTTGCCAGGCACTATTCTAGGCATTGGCATAGAGCAACGAGGAGGCAGACTAATTTCTTGCTCTCATGAAGCAGATGTCCTACAGGGGAAAACAGATCTCACACATGCACATGTGAGTGTGCTCACATGCGTGCACACGCATGCACACACACACACACAGAGTGACATTGCTAGATAGCTAGTTTTAAAAAGGTCAACAGTGACTGGGTGGCTACTCTACATTGGGTGCCTTTCTACAAGTGACAATTAAGCTGAGAGCTGAATGACAAGAAGAACCAGCCAGAGGAAGAGCATCTAAGAAAAGGAAATGGCCAAGTCCCTCAAAAGAAATGGCTTGGCAGTGGTTCTCAAGGCTACAATCCGACATTTAAGATGCACAGGACAGCCCCCACAACAAAGAATTATCTAGCCCCAAATGTCAGAAGTGCCAAGGCTTAGAAACCCTATGTCAGAAGAACAAGAAGGGATCTGTGACTGAAGCGTAACACACACAGGGACGAGGCATAAGAAATGTGTCAGAGGTTGGTGGGGGTAAGCTCACGGAGGGCGTCATAAACCAGAGCAAGGAATCTGGATTTTATTCTAAGTATAATGGGAAGCCCTTCAAGGATTTTAACCAGAGGCATGACGTGTTCTGATTTACATTTCATAAAGATCACAATACAATCTATCTTCTTTGCTGCCTTCTGTCTTTTTCCTCTTCCCATTCATCTGGCCAAGTGCTGTGCTGGGTACTGAATCACCCTGTTCTATGATTTGTGAAGGAGTATCTATACTTTATTTCAGCTGATGATGTCACTGAAATGACACCACTTTTACTCCCTTTCCAAGAACATTCAATGTTGTTTATGGCACTACTGTCTTTTGTTGAGGTCAAGTATAATCACTTTTTTTTTTTTTTTTTTGGAAGACATACCTTTCCCATTCCTCCTGTCATAGTCTTAACCTTCTGTGTTCTGCAAAGAAAGATATCAAAATATCGTCCAACCTAACTCTGAATAACTATACATTTTAGGAGCCTTTCTTGATCGTTAGCCTTTGATAAGAATAAGCTTTGAGATGATTAAATTACAGCTGCTATTTTTCCTTCCTCCGAGTTTACTCACTGTCTGCACAGTCACAGCCTCCATTATACAACACTCTATAGTGCTCAGAGCATTTACTGGCCTTGTTTAGCACTGTGAGGTTGGCGGGGCAGGTCTTATGCTCCTGCTCCTGCTCCTGAACGGTAGGAATCAGCTTCATTGAGTAGTTATAGAGCTAATAAATGAAGAGCTAGGATTCCAATTCAGGTACAAATTTAAGTTCAGTCTTCTTTCCATTATGACTTCTCACACACCATCATTTTGAACATGAGCCTCAGATGGAGGGAACCCCATCTGAATTACTCACAGTCAGAAAAGAATCTAGCGCAGCCCCACATGAACAGTGGCACATACATTCACCACAGTGAAGATGGAAGGCAATGGATGTCTCTCTTCCACTCTCTTTTTAAAATAAACATATATAAACAAACTTGGATTGTTTCCTCTCTGTCGTTTATCACTTCATCCCTCCTACATGCACAGGCATTCATAAGCCTAGAAGGAGATTAAGAAGTCAGTAGGAGTATTTAGGGGAGAAGATCCTAGACTAGGATCAAGGCCAGGAAAAGAAGCAGAGCTCAGACAGGGGCTGGGGCCAGGACTGAGGCCATCCCTGGAGATGGATGGGGTAAGACAGTGGAGAAGGAATGCAAGGGTGACAACACTCGTGGGCAGCACTCGCAGACAAGCGCTTGTGTGGGGGTGTAATTCACAGCCAAACCTACTGTTACTGGCCGGATAACAAAGGAGATAAAACTCACTTGAATCCAACATACAGGGTCTGCTAATACTCACCCAAAATTAGAGACTGAAGTTAATCAGGCAGCATGCCTTCCTCATATTTGGGTTTGTTTTTTTTAACCTTCTTATTACTGAATTTCTTTTTGTAGACTATTTTTATGCATTTTGCACAATAACTGAAGCTGGAGTGTGTTTTAGTAATTTAAAAAAATGAGCAAAAAATCTCATTATAAAGAACTGACCAAAATGATTTCTTGTGTGTGTTGATTCTGCAAATGTAATGAAAATGTCAAATCTTTTCAAAGAAACTTGAAAGGTAAAAATGAGAAACAATAGTGATGGAATACTGGGGAGTCCTGCGGTCTAACCAACTCAACAGGGACTCTTTAGAAGTAACCACTCAGTCTGCAGCTGGAGGCGGCCCACGCTCCCATGGGCTGCTACCACTTTCAGCACCCAAAATACATTGTCTCCTGGAGCCAATCAGATTTCTATCTTGAACACTCATCTACACTCACTTCCAAATTTGGGAACATTTGTAAGAAGAACCCAAAGCAGTAGATCTGGCTTTTAAATAAAATGTTACATTTAAATCAATATCTGCTCTTCATAAGCTAAAAACCATTTGTCATCTTTCAGCCATTATTTGAGTTTCACCCACGCACCAGCCATAAATTCTGGGCCATGGTGAGACTGTGGTCAGCCCGCTGTCCAGTCAGCTAGCTAAAGATAACCAGCTAACTTACGGGGCTCAGGACTAAAACAGGAAGAGCAATGCAGAGTAGTCAAAAAATGTATTTAAGAAAAATTAATGTGAAGAGATGGTGTAAAAAAGCTGATACTTTCCAATAAACTGAAATGTTACCCACGACAATAACTTTATCAGGCTAAAAACAAAGTAATTTTTTTTTCTTTTGTAGCAGCTATTTTTCACTAGTTGTTACATTTTGTTTGCTGAAGGGACCTTTTGCTTCTCAATGGGAAGAAGCGACGGGAACTGGGAGCAGGGGTGTTAAGTGACATGGCTCAGGAAGACATCTAACTGCTCCCACCCCACTTTCAAGTCTGTAGAGGGAGAGATTCTCACCACTTCAGGAAGGATACTGATTTCATTATCTCTCTGCTTTAGAAGATCGTGTAGTTTTTTATATTCTTCCTCTTTTAATGGTTCTTGGCAGTCTGGGTCTTTGATTTCAGAGGAGACTGTACTCTTCCCAAGGATCTTCTTGTCATTCAATAGTTTCTGTAAGATGAAATAAGAGTTTAGTGTCCATATCTCTATTCCAAATTTCTTTGTTTCTTGGACTGTTTTCCTTTAACAATTCCCCACTTACATCAGGCACAGGTGCTCTTTCTTGCCTCCGTGTCTTTGCAACACAGTTGCTTTTTTTGCTTGGTGTCTGTCCCCTTCTACTTGACTTCCTTCCCCTCCTCCTTTCTCATTCCCCACTCCCCTGTCTTATCTCTCCTTCCCTAAATTGGGAAATTCCTACTCAAACATTATCTCCTCTTGGACTCTTTTCCCTTTCTCTGTAGCATCATAGCACTTAATTCACACTTATAGCACTTATTGCAAGTATTCTTCACACATCTGTCTTCTCCATGGCTTAGTCAACTTTTCCTTCCCTATGCCTTTCCCCTGGAATAGTTACAACAAATGTTTATTATCTTAAGGAAGTATGCAAAAAATTCAAGGGAGGTAGAAGTAAAAGTTACAGATATTCCCACTTCCTCATCATAAAAAGCTGAAGAATTATATGGACAAATTAAAACTGCTGGAAAAAAATGCAGGACACAATTATCTTGATATAGCTTAAAAATAAATGGCTTTTTGAACATGGAACTATTCTGTACAGAAGGTAGAGAATCCTGGCAAAAGAATTAGAAGTCCATGGTCTGAGCTTATTTATCAGCAAGTAAGATACAACTTCTGAATTCACTCGGCGATAATCACTGCATTGGTTTGAAGATCACACCATTTTCTGGATGCATGAAGCTGGGTCCCAACCTTTCAAGGGTTGGCCAACTAGAAAAGCTTTTACTGCAGTTAGAGCATGTCAGAAATGGCTTCTACTGGAGGAAACATTTAAGTTTACCTTTAGATGATGAAAACAGTGATGAATTTTACGCATATCAGCGCCAACCTCTAGTCTACTCTCTGGATCCTGGTCTTCCAAAAAGGATGCTGTTAGTTTTTCCAGCCTAAAAATACATAATGTGTGAGAAGCAACTATGAGCTAGAAATGTTAGAGATTCTAATGGCATTACTTGGTTGGTTAACATACGAAGTACAGGATATTATTCCCATTTCTTTACAGAAATACAGTTATCTGATTTGACTATAAAAATTAAGAGGAAAGAAACAGATTGACAGTCAAATCTACAATAATGCAGTTATTTGACTAATTTCCAGTGAATTTTCATATACAGCTTTCAATGAGTCATTCAGTACCTATAATCTGTCCATTCTAGCCAAGCTGAATTTCTGTGCCCCTGTGCCTGGCTGCCACATAGCTAGAGAAAGTAATGAAAAATAATTTTTTTTATTAGTTTCATTAAAAATTCATGCTACTTTGCCTCAGCTGGCACCTTAATGATGCTCCATTATTCTTTTAATCATGCCCAGTTGACTTATATTCTTCACAGTGGTTATTCCAAATCTTTCCACAACTCCCAAGCCTACCACTACTCTTCCACTCTCCATCAGTAAAGTAGCTTCTCACCAGACTGAGAAAGTCAAGCTGCTCCAAGCAGACTCCTTTGAATTCTTTTCCCTCCCCTCGGAGTGTCTCTGCCTCACCACTCAGGCCCTCTTCCTGCTTTTATATACTGTATTTTGGATAATATCTTTCCTCCTTCTCAAGGCCAACCTCTTCCCTTGGGGTCTCTCCCTGCTTCTTCCAGGGCCTACCTGATTGATTACCTCCTTTCTCTTACTAACTCTTAATTACCTCTCTATACTGACTCTTTCCTTTCTGCTTACAATAAATTTCATGTTTTTCCTATTCTAAAACATCACAAAATAGAAAACATAACACCTCCCTTTGGAGGGAGCATTCTACCACTCTGTTCCGAAGTCCTAGTGAAGTTCATTGCCTAACACATCCGTGTCACATTCTAGAGTCTGTGTTCGCACCTTAGCTCCCCCAGGACTTTATAAGTATCATGAGGCAATTCTTGGCTCTTATCTGTCTTTGTGTTCCCTCTCCCACATATATCGGGTTCTCAATATACATATGTTCACTAGTTAATCGATTCACTGACATGAAAATTATTCCCCTCATGTTGAGATGGAATTCTTAATAAGGAAGGTGTAAGGATGGCAATCAGTATCTAAGATGCTAGGTATCGTAACACAGCAGCAGCATATCTTTCTCACACTATTATGAAAATACTTGCATATTTTTAGCATTTTTTAAAACTACACATTTCTCTTCCACTATTGCTATCAGCCCACTCAAATAGATAATGATTACTATCATAGAGCAGCCTTAGATTTTATTTTTATCTCTTTCTGTAATCTGTGACATGTGATAGCTGATGTTTACAAGTGGGAGACAATTTATCTTGCAATTTTTAAGGAAATTCTTCAGGTGGAGGGTTACCTGTCATTTGCACTATTTGTTGACTGACATTATGTTTCCATGTGAAATATAACTTTACACCACCAGATACACAGAGATTCATTTCTGCTACAAAGATTTTATATTATTTTGTACAAAATATAAAATTACATGTTAATGAACAAAATTTCAAATACAGATGTGAATAAATTAAAAAGTAAAAACTCCTCTCCCCACTCCCCTGCCACATTCTCATATTCTTTATTCACTCTCTGGTTCCACAAACCTATATCTACATATTCATTTGTAGATTTCATTTGTTTGTTTTCACAAAAATCAGATCATACTCTGAATAGTGTTCTACACCATTATTTCTCTAAAGAATTTATTACAGATAATCTTCCACATCAGTACATATACATCAGAGCTATTTCATTTTTAATGCTATAGAATATTCCACAAGATGGATGGATGTACTCTTCCTTTCATAATAAACACTGAGGTGACATTCATTGTTGCTACTTTCCTCTGTAACCCATGAAGAGGCCTGGATCTACCATCCCCACTTAATGATTCTTCAAAAAATAGTACTGTTTATCTACTTTTCTCTTTAATACTCGGCAGAAATCGTGCAGTTTTGAAAATCACCATGAATTCTAGGATATACCCATTCTCTGGAGTGAAAGCACTTTATGATTTCCAGTGTCCATAAAATTTCTAACAGACAATACTAAGTTGGAAGCAATGGTTCATCAATTCTCCCTTCTTGCTTTCTCTTTAGATAACAGCTTCTCCTGTATAGTTTGGTCATAAAGTATATATTCTAGGGAACAGTCTCTGAAGAAAGACTGAAGTGAAGTCCTAGCTCACAAAAAAAGCATTGTAAGACATAAGCCTCCAGATTAGCTGAGTGACCACTTGCTGATTATTATTTAAAAAAAATTTTTTTAAGTTTATCTATTAATTTTTTTTTACATTCTATGATGTTGTGGATCAGTTGGTGGGCAGATGGAGAGGGAGACAGGGGAAGGAAACAGGGTTTGAGAAGGAGGAATGAGGGGGGTGCCACAGGCCTGCAGAGGCGACCAGTGGTCTTCCAGAGATGTCTTGGTTATTGCTGGGCTGGTTGCGGGTATTGGGGCAGGCATGGCCAAGGCCCTCAGCACCCCACTTCCCTGGCTAGGGAGAGCCCAGGTGCTTCCTATGGTGGCTTGGTGGTCGTCACTGGGCTGGCTGTGGGTGTTGGGGGGCTGTGGCCAAAGCCCTCGGCACCCCACTTCCCCAGCTAGGGAGAGCCCAGGCACTTCCTGTGGTGGCTTGGTGGTCATCGCTGGGCTGGTTGAGGGTGTTGGGGAGACATGGCCAAGGCCCTTGGCCCCCCATCACCCTGGCTTGGTAGAACCTGGGGCACTTCCTGTGGTGGCTCAGTGGTCATTGCTAGACTGGTTGCAGGTGTTGGGGTGCATGGTTGAGGCCCCTAGCCCTCCCGCCTCCCTGGCTTGGTAGTATAAGGGATTTCCTGTCCTTCTAGGTTTTATAGGTGTTCTTTGGTGATGTGAGACCTTTACTAGTTAATGTCAAACTATGTCTCTGGTCTGTGGATATTTTGTTTTTCTTCCAGTTCTGTGTTGGATTATTTGCTGTTCCTTCCACTTAAACTCTGCACTGGAACTAATTTGTTGTCCTTTGCTTACTTGTAAAATCGGGGAGCTTCCTGTGGGGACCAGCACTTGAGCTCTGTGGTTGAGGTGCATTGTTGCTTTGCTGCTGGTTCCCTGGGGAAGGCTTTTTGTGCAGTTCAGGTTTTAATGGTTGACTTTATAGGTAGTTCTGGCTCTCATGAAATCTGGTACAGCTGGGTTGTGTAGAAACTCTGGTCTGGGCCTGAGTCTTTTCAGCAAACTGCACCCCCTGCAGTACTATATTCCTGACCAGTCTCCACTGAGTGGTCCTATGCTGAATGGGGGGCAGATCAGCTGTCCATGCCATGCTGTAGTGTTCTCCTGATAGGCCCATCTCCCACACCACCTGCACTCCAAACACTTCTCATGGAATGGGCTGTGCACCAGTCCCTTGCAATGACTTGCCAGCCTCTGAGTGGCTCCTTTTTTCAGTTGTTGTAGCTCCTCATTCCTATGTGGGTCCACGGGAACTCTGTTAGTGGTCTTGCTGGCCTGGGGGCCACCAAGGCCTTCTTCTTCCCTGACACCTCCAAGCAACTTCATCCAAAGGGCACAGCTGTGGCTTTTGCCAGCTCCTGCTCTGTGCACTCACCAGCTCCAGCGTTTAAACAGCCAGGGCTCAAAATGGTCAGAACGGTTCTTTCTTTCTCTCATCGTGGCTTCTTCTGCTGTCATGCACTCTGTAGGTCTTTCCTCCTCTTCCCTGATCTCTAGCAGCCCCAGATTTGCTGTCATTGCTTTTTAATGGTTTTAAACTGGTTGATTTGTGGGAGAGAGTGACACCGGGGACCATCTATTCCACCATCTTGACTGGAACTCTATGCACTGATTCTTCAGCCTCACTGGGCTTTGGCTGTTCCATCAAGGTTCCCATCTCACACAATAACAGTAGAAGATACAAGGAGAACTAGGGCATGATTCAAAGAAATTGGTAAAAACTTCTATGTAAGTAGAAAAACTGGATTGCTTTACTCTTTCTGGGACTCAATTAGTCTGGTACATAACTGAGAATGAAGATTAGGCCTTTTGACAGGCAGCTTTGTTCTTAAAGCTTGAGACCACAGAGCCTCTTTAGATAAGAAAAATGCCTGGGTTTTCCTTCATACATTTGATTTACTGTTGAATTTATTTCCTTATCAAGCAAAGACTTGATCTAATAATTAAAATGCAGAAAAATGCTTAATTCAGATATTTTCAATGTACTCCTCTAGTAGTTAAGAGTGAACAAATGACCCCAAATTCTCTGCATTTTCTTGTCTCCCAAAATAGCACAAAAGTTCATACCTAGACCCCACTCCCACTGAGGGGTCTCCCAGTTGCCAGAACCCTGCTGGACAGCAGGGAACTGATTACAGAAAAGGCTCTCTAAGGAGGTCAATTGAGTACGATAAAGTCTGTTCTTCAGGAGAAGCCCAAGCCAACAAGAAACTGTACTTGTTCTCTACTTTCACTAGGAGAAAAGAAGGCAAAAAAGAATCCTAGTGGAAAAGTAAAAATAACAAATAAAAAAAAAAGTAAAAATAACTGAATGTATACCATTCAGTTCTAGTCCATGTGGACAAGAAATATAGATAATCTGTGTCTGAATGCACAACCTGCCTGATGGTAGGTGATTGTTACGTGTTTGGTGACTATACCTTCCTCCACCACACCGACTGCTAATGAGGTATCTCTGACAGCCTGTGGCCTATGCAGCAATTCCACTGTACTGTAAATTTTGATACGTGGCCACATAATTAGAATTGACCATATTTCCTAATACGTGCTTTACCCCTCTGAGTCCACTATAACCCCCTTTCTGCTCCTTATATTTTTTGCCGAAAAATGAACTCATGTCTATAGACGTATTTCCATGGACACTTAGGTTTAACAGCATGAACAGAAGGACAAAGCAAGCTTCCTATCATTCACAATAGCCAATATTAATTGAGCATGCACTAAATGTTAGATACACTTC